TGGTGGAATCTGCTGTTATCTAGATGGGGCTTTTCTATGACTGGGGCTTCTCTCCTGCAGACTTCCATTTCTTCTCCTTGTTACAAAACAATTTTAAGTAACGTATTTCAAGGCCTTGATCTTTTCTGGTGTTAAGTGTTTGGTATTTAAATAACTACTGTATCTGGATGGCCACATATCTCATTGCATTTTGGAAATTTATACCTATATTTTACTGGATAAAATGTTGATTCTTTTAGTGTCCATGATTTGTAAATTTGATCTTCTAATCATATCTCCTTGATCTTCTATGTTTTTTCTTTCTTTGGTATTGTTTTACCTTTGTCATTGTTTGAATTTTCTTAAGCATAGCTGGTGTTCAAATCTTGCTATCCTATCTTCAGCCTGATAGATGATCTAGATGAGAATTTTCACTGCTTTTTCCTTTTATTTAATTAGCTTTTCCTTCAAATATTTTATTTTGAATTTTTCATTATTTTGTGTCTTTTATGATTTCCTTGGATACATGCTCACTCAGTGATTTTTTTGTTATAGCATTTTATTCTTCTAGACACTTCAGGGATTTTTTTGGTACATTCTTACAATCATTCTTTGAATTCTTTGTTTAAATGTCATTGAAAATACTTGCATTTAAGTCTATTGTTATAACATTTAGAGTGATTTTGCTTGGGTATCTTTATGATAATGTTTGTTTGTTTCTGCACTGGGATTTGCATGATTAGGAGCAGAGCACTTGTTGAATTGTTTTTAATCCCGTTAATTCTTCAACTGGATGCTTTAGTAATGTTCAACAGAGCTGTGGTAAGAACAGAAATGATATTTCATTACTACCCTCTGAATGGATATTTAGCTCAATAGCTACACCATTAGTCCATGTGTGCGTTTCCATGCAAATAACTCTTCTCATTACTCTGAGGAAGATCATTAACTGTAAACTTTATACTATCTGAACAATCTAAATATCACCTCAGATGAAGCCTGAAGAGTTTCCTGAGGTTAGTTTTTTTAATATTCAACCTACTCTATAGTTGGTCAGTTTGAATTGGATATCTTAAAACCACCCACATCAGAATCCATGCCTACTAGTATGCCCAGGACACATAATGGGATATTTCCTTTACTGCTGGTTATACAATCCCATGTGGGACATGCCAACTCTGGGTCCTGTTTTGTTAATTTGGGCATCAGCAATTTCATAATTTGGGGGTTTTGTTTGTTTGTTTGTTTGTTTGTTTATTCCCAGTCATTATAAGACAGCTAGGAAAAGGTTTACAGGCCTTAACTGTTGAATTTCATGCTTCACAGCTTTAAAGAAAAAGGGGATATGGCCATGCTAAATATCTTGAAAGCATTGCTTAATAATTCCACAGTTCTTGAATGAATTGAACTGACCCTTCACTGCCTTTGGTGGAATTTGCTACAAAGCTCTTGCCTGTATCTTTGACATTTTAATGTTTGAATTTCTTGCTGATAAGGGGCCACAACTGAAGGCTAGCACTGGGATAATATAACAATTTTTATAAAAACTGATGTTGAAGAGAAAAAAATTATGGTGGTTCCCTAGGAGAATTAGCTATGCAAGAAATTGAATTTTCTATAGAACCTATTACTCTTAGGTAATAGTATAGGTATTAGTAAGCATGAGGCATAGGATTTGGAAAAAGAAATTAAAGAAGAAAAATTAAGCAAGTTTTAAAAGTTGACAAACTATAACTGAATAATTTTATTTCATGTATTGCCAAAGAAACACACAACTATTATTTACAGGACAGAATTTTGATTATAAAATTAATGACAAGTCTTGGTACTGCTGTTTTAGGAACCTTGATGTTTTTTTTACTCTATTGGATTGTAATAAAGTTAAAGGCCATATTGAAACAAAAGTTTATGACAGAGACACAAACAGAAATATTTTGTATCAGTGTACTGCCTAGCTTCTTGAGGAGACTTGTCACATCAGGATTTCTCTGATTGTAAAAAGAATAAAGAGAAGTACATGGTATTTTAGAGGTCAAGGGAAAGGATGATGGTCTTATGTCAAATTTAAAAGAAAGAATTTAAGCAAGGGAAGGAGGAATTAGATTTCTGTAGAAAGATCAAATATCCATTATAGTAAATTAATAGAATAACAGGTAGTAGGAAATTAATTCTTATGTGTTAACTTAGTCAAACTTACATAGAGATATCCTGCGTAGTTTTACTGTAACCACAAAGATTTATAACACCAATTTTAAACAGTAACTGAGTTAAAAGAATTGATTTTATCATAATGTTAGATTTTAGTTCTAAATGAAATTTGCTGTTTGCTGGTTTTGTTTCTTTTATTTTAATATGCTTCTGTAATCATGGAAGACTTTAGAAAAAGTATATGCCATGAAAAGACTTTATAATCAATGATTAAAAATATGAGGAAATAATTTTGTGTACACATAAAGCCTGTGAGAGCTGCAAGTTTTCATAATAGGACAAGTCATACAGAGATATGTTTCCTCTCTGACCATCACTTCTAAAACAAAAGTTGAAAGTATCCTCTAGTCTGATTTCTCCATCACTGCTCTTACATGCAGTCACTTCAGACCCTACCCTCATCTAGAGATGGACAGTGACAATTTACAATTATCATGAAAGCCAAAGTTTATTACTACCAGTTGCTCCCATACAGAGAACGAAAGTAGGCACAATCTTGTTATTTTGAATGAACTATGCAAGAATTATGGGGAAAAAGCAAAGTTCCCTACTGTGACATTTCATTGACGTTATAATTCAGGGCTGGAGAAATGGTTCAACTGGTAATTACAATTGTTGCTCATGAACAGGACTCAAGTTTGATTTTCTGGACCCTCTGACTGGCACTAAGGTCTATCATGTTCTCAGGAACTTGAATCATTCTTCTGACATTCTTATGTACTAGAAATGCAAATGTTCAACAGACATACATGCAGATAAAATACCCATACCTACCTTTAAAAAAAGAAGGAAAAAGTGAGTATTTAATTATAGAATACCTAATATGGATGATTTAATTATAGAACACCTAATATGAAAATGTTAATTTATGGTTAGAAGTGTTGATAATAAAGGATCTTTTTGTAAGAAGGTTTGTAGAAAATTATATCATAAAAATTAATATTGCATGCATGTTGACTTGACTCTATCCTTACAATCAGTCTAAGTCTTTTCATCATCTGTGCCTGATGTTCAGCATACAGGAGAAAATCACTATGTAGTAATCAGAATGGTACCAAGAGAATATTGCTCACTTTACTGGAAATAATATTAAACATTGGTTATAACCAGTATATACTTATATTAAAATCATAAACAGTTTCTGATATGATATAAAATACACTCTGTGTATGTCTAAAATAATCAAAGAATTACATAAACTATAACATCAAAAGTAAAAAGAAGAGAGATAACATAGGAGGCCAGAGACTGGTTCTTAGTGTGACAATCTCTTTCATTTTACTGAGTTACAAGGAAGAACAAATGGACAGACTTGACTGTAGTGGGTAGCCATTCCAGCTTTTATCTGGAAGTTCCATCCCCCAGTGAGGCTTCAGTAACTGTCCACCCTACAAGGTGGGGTGGAGAGAGGACCCTGAAGACCCAAGATCCGGATGCGCAGGCTCTCTTGGTTCCTGGACCCTAGATGCTGGAGGTAGACTGAGCAGAGTTCTCCAGAGAACAAGGCCGGACTGTGCTACACCTTTCCCAGACCCTGTTCCCTATCCTTTCACTTGTAAGTTACCCTACAAAATAAATCTCCCATTTAACTACGTGGAGTGGCCTTAATAATTTCAGCAATATCTGGCACCCAACATGTGGCTTGAACACATGACTCTGAGATTAAGAGTCTCATGCTCTACCGACTGAGCTAGCCAGGCTTCCAAAGAGATGCACTGAGGGACTGGTGAGGCTCCGAGAAGACCTGAAGAACTAGGGGTGGTCAAGCTGGTGGACCAACAGAGGAAGAGGCCTTGCTGACCAGGGTTGGAGCTTCCAGATTAAAGCTGGAATGGCTACCCATTACACTTGACACGTTACTACTGTGTAATGTAAGTCAGTACAGTTAGGTCAGACCCACCTGTCCACTTTCTGTGGGCCACCATTTCCTATATTCAGATAAACGGATCTGTTGACCATGAGGAAAATATGGGCTAAAAATCCCTATCTTCACCTTAATTCCAAGACCTTGTAGAAAATTCCAAGTCTGAAAAATGTCATAATCTGGTTGTAGTTTTTCTTTCTCATTCATATTTACTTTTTCCCCAACAGGATTAGTGAAGTAAGTCTTCCTCAGAATGGAGTGCAGCTGAAAGACAGTCACCATTCTATATTGAATGTGCCCTTACTGGAAGTCAGAAAACATATCTCAGTTTCATCTTAAAGGAAACTTTATTGAAGGGGCCAAGGGTAGAAATCTCCATGAAAGCAAATGGAAAATAAACTTTTAATAATGTTCCTATCATTTTAATTCTCTCAAAGAAAATTATGGGACACAAGCATAGACATACATTCAGAAACAAAACATAGATATGGACTATACACAAACACAGACACACATACACCAACACAGCTAAACACAGAGATATGCACATCCATACAGATATAAATACCTAATACTCCCACATACTCATTTACACACACACTCACACACACACACACAACACACATGCCAACATACACATATGAACATACTGGCACACATAGACAGAGAGACTTATACACTTAAACTGACACATAGAAAGATAAATATAGAAAACTTATACACAGGCCCACACATACACATAGTCTCAGACAAACACACACAGGGAGACATACCAAGATACAGACAACCACACAGACACATTGACACAGTTCAATTTATGCACATATCAAAAGACATTCTGACACAGACACCCACTCACATATACACAGCAACATATATGCAAGTAAATACACAGAAACATACAAAACACACATAGGAAAATACACAGAAAAACAACACCCATACAGAAAGACATTGACATCAGGCAAATTTATGTTCACTACTACAAACAGACAGGTAGGTATGCAGCTAGACTGACACACATACACACAAAGCAACACAGTTATATACACAGATACATAGAAGCACAAAAACATGCATTCATACACACTGAGAAACACCCATTCATGTACATGAATACACATGTATGTACTGAACTGAATCACAGAACAATTTCATGTGTAATTACTCTCAGAGTTATAAGTGAGGTCCCCAAACCTAGAGTGCAGGTGGATTCAGTTAAGAATGCTTTTGAAAACCAACTCCTACACTGACTACCATGTATTTTATAATTAATAAGTTAATGTAGAGCATTAATGGGGAAGGACTGATCTGTTTCCACTATAAGAACAGTGTGATGATATTCAGGAGCTCTCTAACAAAATCACTGATTTCTACTGATAAATTGTGTCTTCCAAATGATTGCCTTAGTATTAGAGATTTATACCAACATCCAGATTTACTTCCTCAACAGGAAAAATGTTCATAAATCTTTCTAATGGGAATATTTATTAATACACTAGATTTGGGCATCTGACTGACTCTTGAGTGCTATAACATTTATAACACAGGAAACCTTCCAATAGAAATAACACTACCTTCAAACAGTTAAAATTGTGTTCTTTCCCATTGTCCATTGGCTGATTTACTTGTTGTTGAAGAAGTCTCTCATGAAGGGCATGGGCCAAAGCATACACAGCATTGTATAAATCATAACTGGCATCATTAAAGGCCATGTCAAAAGTTTGTACCATCAGCCATTCCAGTGAGGCATTGGTTGAACAATTCTTCAGTGTCTTCCACTTAGATTCTGCTACTTCACAGTTAAATTTCATCCACTCCAACTTTGCCAGGTATTCATCTGAGTATCTGACATGGGTCAATGTCTGAACAAAATTTTTAAAACCAGAAATCTCAGTATGGTGATGAGCAAAAGTTATTGTTCCAAGAGATGAGGTAAGTGTGAAGTCTCTATTACTTGTAATATCATCCCACTGTGAAGTGGTGACCCATATTTTCTGTATACCTAGAGATTCCCACATTCTAAAGCTCACAGCTAGAGTACTGTCTGTGTCTCCATAAATGATAACTACATTTGTGGATGATGTCATGATTTGGTTATAATACACTTCAGCTCTTGACATGTATAACTCCATGTTAACCGGGATCATGTTTACAAAGGCAAAGCAGACTGTATTTTTTTCCATCTCTGTTCTCAAATATGAGAGAAATTGAATACCTTGATCATTGTCTGAGATGGCCAGCCCAATCCAGTTCCAACTGAAGTGAAGCATCAAAGAAATCATGGCTTGGGCTAGTGATGTGTCCTTGGGGGCCATCTGATACAGATATGGAAATTGTTCACAATCACTCAGGATAGGATGAAAGGGTCCATAGGTGAGCTGAAGTAACTAGGACACAGGCAACAGCATGAGGTAGCACACACTCTTAAGAACTTATAAACACTATTCTGCCAAGGGGTTCAAGAAACCTCCCCTTACCTACTATTTCTACCCTCATCTCCGTTTACACAAGGAAATGTGGAAGTCCCATCAAGTCTCTGAACTGTACCCTTGCACTACACAGTTTGACATAAGTGTAAGACCAGTCTCCTCCTCACACTCTTCTTAGCATCTGGGAATGGTATCAACAGACATGGCATTTCTTGCAAACCCACCAAAAAATCCTCACCTGCTGAGATTGGTAGAGATCCATGATTTTCCACATTATGACAGATGTTGCCCAGTAAGGTCCTGTAAGCAGCACTGCACACCCGATGTCTTCATAACAGACATAATTAGGTGGAGCTTCCTGGCTTTGTTCAGAATTATGTATGAGACTGTGTAATTGTGACACAGGATGACAACCCCCTGCTGGTAATTCAAACACCAGAGACACATTTGGTAAAAGATTAGAGTTCCTGTTGACTTCATCAATGGAAAATGCCAAGGCCAGAACAAACTTGTAGCTTGCAGTTGGTGTTCTGTAGAAGGATACAATGATTATTACAAACAGAGATCTACAGATGATCATTTGTAGTCAGTACAAGGACTATCCTATACTGGAGTGCATTCCCAAACTTGCCCAAAGTTTGAAACAATTGTCCTGTGTTGTGAGGCTGGGGTAACATAAGAAGCTGAAAGCTTGCTAAAATTTTAAAAGTTCATCAGAGTGTGTCTCCAGTAAATATAAGGACACATTAGCATCTTCCATAGTGAGCACTTTCCATCTCTGGTTTTCAAGTGCTTTCTCAGAAGATAAGTACAGTGGCACAGGTTTGACCAAACAGTAAAACTAATCGTGTTTTCATTTTGAAATTATTGGGCAATATGAAAAATACATGTGATGTGTCAACCAAGTTTCTGGTATTTTTTATGAAACAAACTGAATTGTATAAAGGCATTCAAAGAATGACTGGTGAGTGCACAGTGATCTTTCTCGGGCCATGTTTGGCTCCTGTACTTACAGTTCATTATAATTAGTGGGCAATACAGTTAACATATCCCCTCATGCCCAGCCTCATCTTGCTGGTTTTTCTTTGTGACTTATCTACTGCAGGCACAAAATGTTTTTTTTTTAATTAAGAAAAATGTTTCAGTCATTTTACACACCAATTAAAGATCCCTCTCTTCCCTCCTCCTGCTCCCCGCTTCCTCTCCCAGTGCACCTGTCACTTCCCCCCTCATAAGAAGGCAAGGCCTCCCATGGGGAGGCACATCCAGTAGAGGCAAGTCCAAGCCCTTCTCCCTGCCTCAAAGCTGCATGAGGTGCCCCATCATAGGTAGTAGGCTCCAAAAAGCCCCCTTGGACACCAGGGATGGATTCTGATCCTACTGGCAGGGGGCCCCCAAGAAGATCAAGCTACACAATGGTCTTGCCATGCAGAGGGCCTAGTCCAGTCTCATGCAGACTCCACAGCCATTGATCGAACTTTCATGAGTTCCCACTAGTTTTTAGTCTCTGCAGGCTTCCCCATCATGATCTTGATACAATTGCTCATAGAATCTATCTTTGACCAGACTCCTGGAGCTCTGCCTGGTGTTTGGCTGTGGATCTCTGCATCTGCTTCCATCAGTCATTGGAATAAAGGTCTTTGATGACAGTTAAGGTATTCACTGGTCGGATCACTGGGGTAAGCCAGTTCAGATCAGGCACCCTCTCCACTATTTCTAGTAGTCCAAGCTGGGGTCATCCTTGGGGATTCCTGGCAACTTCACTAGCACCAGATTTCTCTCTATCCCCATGATATCTCCCTCTATCATTGTATCTCTTTCATTAGTTTCCCACTCTATCCCTGTTCCAGCTCAACCATTCCATTCCTTTATGTTCTCATGACTATCTCCTACCCTCCATTGCCCACCCCTCATCCCCAGCTTACTCATGGAGATCTCATCTATTTCCCCTTCCCAGGGCAATCCAAGCATCCCTTTTTGGTACTTCCATGTTAGTTATCTTCTTTGGATTTGTGGGTCGTTGTCTAGTATTCTTTGTTTTATATCTTGTATCTACTAATGAGTGGGTACACACCATGTTTGTCCGTCTGAGTCTGGGTTACCTCACTCAGGATGTCATTTTCTAGTTCCATGGGAGTGCAAATTTATACAGCCACTTTGGAAATCAGTGTGGTGTTTTCTCAGAAAATTAGTAATAAATCCTCTTCAAGACTCAGCTATACCACTTTTGGGCATATACCCAAAGAATGTGCAATCATACCACAGGGACACATGCTCAACTATGTTCATAGCATCATAATTCATAATAGCCAGAACATGGAAACAACTTAGATGCCCCTCACCTGAAGAATAGATAAAGAAAATCTGGTACATACACACAATGGGGTGTTTTTCTCAGCAGAGAAAAACAATGACATCATGAAATATGCAGGCAAATGGATGGAACAAATAATTTTTTTTTTGTTTTTTGAGACAGGATTTCTCTGTGTAGGTCTGTGCCTTTCCTAGAACTCGCTCTGTAGACCAGGCTGGCCTTGAACACACAAAGATCTGCCTGCTGCCTCTGCCTCCCAAGTGCAGGGATTAAAGGCTTGCGCCACCACCACTTGGCCAAAATGTTTTTTTAAGATTTAATTTCTAAATAAATTTCAATACTAGAGTATATTTGGTAAATATGTGCATCTGTGTGTGTGTGTGTGTGTGTGTGTGTGTGTGTGTGTGGACATGAAAAATACTCATTTAGGCCATAAGTTGGTAATGGATTTCATGGTTTTCAGTGACACTTGGCTTTAGATTGGACTGGCCTCAAATGAACAGGTATACATCTGCTCCATTCCCCAAATGCAGAAATTAAGAGCATATACCCTAGTATTGTCCATCTGTTTTATGTTTACACAGGAATGTTCAATGTAATCACACTTGGTATATTGTACCAACATAAATTTTCTTATACTGAGCACCTTTCAACTACATTTCCAGTTACAAATATACAACACTATCATGCAGCTGAGAACTAGGTACACCAGGAAAATGCAGTGAGATTTTTTGTGCCATTATTACATGTTTGCAAAATAAAAGAATATAAAGAATACAATATATGGAAAATATATATAAAGTTTGCTAGTAAAATGGTCAACAAGTTAGTAGGAATAAAACAATACCATTTTGTTTTTAGATTTATGGGAAAATATTAACTCCCAAGTCTTTCTACACATTGCATAACATCTAGCCAATAAATGTAAAACTCAAACATACTGTTTCACTCTTAATAATTCACTCAGAGTTGAATATAAACTATTTCTCACTTAGAAATGTTACCACTGTGGTATCTTTATTTTTAAGTAAATATACTTATCTATACATTTTAAATGAAAATAATCTTATAATATTCATTATTATCACACAGAAAATTATCATTGAAATTTTCAGTAAAAGTCAACAGGAATTTGAGATTAGAACTTGTGAAACTCAACTACTACTTCCTTCAAACTAAACATTAAAAAACATCAATGACTTGAGCTATTAGAATGGCCTAGTGGACTAAAGTGTGGTGTTTGAAAACAACTCTTGGCAATGCACAAAATCAAAATGTGTGTAGTGCCTAAATGGTAAAATATGCAGCTATAATTATTAAAAGTTCTGAAAGGGAAATATAAGAGGTAGTAAACAAGATATAAATGTAAGAGAAAAACAACTTATATAAAAGAGAGAAGACACATGCTTCTTAAGTAATGGAAAAGTTGAGCTAGTATAAAACTGTTCTCAAGTGTTGCCAAGTATCACATGCCACAGCTGTCATTCAGCATGTTACAAGGAGTGTAAGAAGTCACCACTATTAGTGATAGACTTTCATTTAAGAAAAATGTAAACATAACATTTACAGTCTATGCATTCCCTCTTTTCTATAAAGAAAAAGTGAGGAATTGTACTTTGAAATTAAAGTCCAATGATTATACATGTGTATAAGTGAAGTATGGAGAAACAGGAACACATATGAAGTTCACAGTGGACAGTTCTCCTACTTCCATTCTTGATGCAGCTTTAGAAGGCATAGTGTGGCTACAGGAAGAGAGCATTTGAGAGAATAACTGAATATCTATGTAAAAACTCTCTGGAGATAGAGGTGCCACAAAGCTTAGTTGCCCAAGCACATACACATACATTAGGAGTTACAAAATAATCAAATGGTCATCACAAAGTCTTCTCAACACCCACTGATTTGCACCCATAGGATGATACTCAAAGATATCACTGGCTATAGTGCTGCAGACGCTCTCCAGAAAAGGGCTATATGTGATGGAACAAGATACAAAGTCATACCCCGCCCCGCTCAGCTTCTAGCCTTATAAGTAGGAGTGAAACTGGAGGAATTACAATACTTCCTGAACAAACTAAAAGTAGAAAAATAGCAATGAGTCTCTAAAAGTATTTGGGGTTGTTTCTTGGTGTGCAGTTCAGGATAACATGACAAAAGAGTCAAAACTTTGCTTTAATTCTTACCTTAAGAGCCCTCAAGAAATACTTGTGATGACATTTACATAGAAAATGCAAAGGAACTTACTGTACATTCAGAAGGCGGTTGAAATATTCTTTTTTGACAGGCCTCTTCACTGATCCAAGGGAGAAGATACAAGATGTTAACAAGTCTCCATCCTTGCTCTTATTCTGCTTCACTTTCCAAAAACACCTGGGATGAATAAAACTGGACACAAGAAGTGGAATGTTCAGGAGCAAGAACAGGAAAATCAAAGTGAACATCTTTGTCCTGCTCTATGTCTACACAGTGTGTATTGTGAAGAGCTATTCAGATCAACACATTATATGGTCATCCATGTATTCCCACCTGCTTTTATATCTGTAGCAAAAAGAAAGGCTACTTGTGCATTCATAATTCCTTATTTTTCAGGTGTTTTGTAAACTCTGGTGAAATCTTGGACAAACTGTTTCCTGGGGCTGTGCATTTGATGTCCATGTGATTAAATTTGGTTGATAAATATATATGAGGAGATCTCATGTAGTTTGATGACATCACTCATGTTTGTTGAAACTAAGGTTCCTTGGAGGTACTATTATGAGGAAATTTGATCCCAGGACTCCTGAACAATCTGTTTATGTTAATGCCTTCAGAAATGATGTCAGTATATTATGTTAGATAATTCACATTGAGACATTCAGTAATGGTTCAGGAAGGACCCACAAAGTAGTATTCATGGTAACACACTGGGAATTGCATCACAAATTCCCTGTCAGGGAAAAGCAGCTCCATGTTTAGAGCAATTCAGTTCCACACAGCATAAACAATGGGGCCTGTGCTACACCAGTGACAGTTACAGAATATCTAACTAAAGCCTGTGCCTCACTGTCTTGAGAATCAATCAGGCCAAATTAAAAAAATTCTGAATCTTGCAGGCCCACAACTATCCAGATCATTATAGAACCACTGTTACCTTTACAACATTACAAAAATGTTGATTTTTTAAAAAAATATTCAACATGATGCATAGAGATTTTGTGTGCTACCTTTCAAATAGTATATAAAGAAGTATATAAAATCTATCACTCCTACTCCTAAACAATTATTATTAAAGAGAAGATAAGGTGAATACTTGATTTCTAAAAAATGATCTACCTTCCCAAGCCTCAGTCTCATAGATCTATTCTGTACATTGACCTATTTCTTCTCCTTTATCTGTGATTTCCTACAGTGTTCTTCTCATTTTACCATTAGTGGCTACAAATAAGTCTTGTTGTGTACCTTAGAAGCAAATAAAAACTGGGAAGTGACTCTGGGTTTAATGTGTAAATTCTTTTATACCGTTTCCCTAGTCATCTATTTTTGTTTGCATTCTAGACCTTGAACTGCCAGTGAGAGAGTGTTCTGGTGAATGTGGGCTGATGAGCCTCTTTCAGTGGATAAGGACTGAAGAGAAAGCAGAAAAATTATAGGGTAAGCCTTCGCTATAGGTGTTTATATGTCTTATTTAGCACTCGAGATGAGGCAAACAGGGCTGGTGTCCTCATCTGGAACTTACTGTACTTTTAAAGATCAACATTTAAAAGTACATGACCTCTGATTCTGTGATGAGCTTTCCTGGGGCGGGGAGGGGGTAGATTTGGATAAAGAGGAATGTGACAGGGAGAGGCTTTCATTGGAAGAGAGAACAAATTAAACTATATATCTATTTTACATCCCAATGGCAGATTCCCTTCCCTCCTCTTTTTTCAGTCCTTCCCCCCACCAACATGTGCCTTTACCCCCAACCACTCCTCCTCTCTTTCTATTCAGAAAGCATCATCTCACCAAATGGATATTAATCTAACATGGCATATCAAGTTGTAGTAAGAATAAACACTTCTCATTGTATTTAGCCTCATCAATGTGACATAGTGGGAGGAGTATGAAACCAAAAGCCTGCAAAAGATTTAGAGACAGCATCTTTCTCAGAAAATTGGGAATTGATCTACCGCAAGGCCCATAATTTTTATCAATCAAGAAGACAAATGAAATTTCCAGTAGTCCAGATTTGATTTGGTATCCAGTATTGTTTAGCGTCTAATAATTGCTGTTATTTTCATTTAATTAAAGTATAGCTTAAAGATTTTATTATGTCACATTCACACGTGTGTAAAATTACTTTTGTTGGTATTTGCCCCTCTCTCAACATCTGTTGCTAATCTTACTACCACTTCCATTCCTCAATTCAGACAGCCTCCTTCTCGCCTTACGATATGTGGGTTCTTGTTCAATTTATGAGACAAGAGTGATATTTTCTTCATACAGTCTTTATGTTCTACCCCAACTCAGTAAACTCATATCTTCAAATCTTAAATAATACCTCTCCTACTCTCTTTGTGTATAAATTCATTTATATATGTTCATGCATAAGCACACATACACAGAGAGAGAGACACACACAGACACAAACCATTACATTTAGAGTCTGAAAATTTGAAAATCTGGAGTCTGTGTAGTTAACATGATTATCTCCTACACTCTCCCCAATTCCTGCTAATCTTTTAATTCTCGCAGGGTGAGGACAACTCTATTATGTGCATATAAGTCCTGTGAGGTTTTCATCTTAATTCCAATAAGTCTAAGAAAAGTCTGTAACAAGTAATCTTATTTGTTTAATGTCATCATTGTTTTCAATAAATTATGAATTACATAGAAGATTTTTTTTAACCTTCTATAACATTGAGATATGTGGTTTACTTAAAAATCACTGTGCATATATTCAAGTGTAGTAATTCATTGAATGAATCTTTCAAAATGATAAGAATGCATTGTAAATAGTAATAATGAATTTTTGTATATTTGAAGTAAAAACAAAATCACAAAATTTTAGATGATATCATGAAAAAAAATGTTGAAATAAACATGGACAGGCAAGTGTCTGTGTGCTACACTAACTTATTAACTTCCAGAAAGTTGCAGGAGAGGCATGCATGGACTATACAATACTCCCAAATTTACAGACTGAATTATCTGTATATGCTTACCACAATGGGGCCCTCAGTTTATACTCACAATACAAACATTCATGGGAATTCCCACATCTCCTACATGCTCATTAGTTTATGTGATCATTTTTTAAGCTATTCATTCTCACTGTTATATACTCCCATTTTAACTGTGGTTTTCCATTTTTATAGCTAAAACACTTGAATATACATTCATATGCATATTTTCTCAATGCATTCCACTTACCAGACTTACATTGAATTTAGATAAACAATTTAACTAAAACTCTAAGTATTAATGAAACAGAAGCAATCATTAAAATTCCCCTAACCAAGCAACACCAGAACCAATGAATTTTATCACAGAATCTTCAAAATTCTTTCAAAGGAGAGTTAATGCTGATACTCCTAAATTGTCCTGAAAAATAAAAACAGACTGAACATTGGTCAGTTCATCTCATGAACCTCTAGTCATCCTGACACTCAAACCACATTATATTATATCAACAAAAGAGAATCACAGGCAAATTTACCTTATGAACAATAGTACAAAAATACACAATAAAATATGTCCAAACCAAATCCAGGAACACATCAAAAATACTACCATGATCAAGTTGGATTCATCCCAGAGATGTCAGGATATTTCCATCTAATAAATTCAATAAATCTATTCCATAAATTTCAAAAACAAAAACACAGCATCATACCATCAGAGGCAGAAAAGATCTGTTACAGAATCCAACACCCCTTCATGATAAAAGTCTTGGAGAAATTAGGGATAAAAGGCACATACCTCAACATAATCATGAAGGTTTACAGCGACCTATGGCTGACATCAATATAAATTAAGAGAAACTCAAATTCCACCAAAATCAGGCATAAGAGAAAGTTGTCCACTCTCTACATACTTATTGTATATAATACTTGAAGTCTTACCTAGATATACAAGATATATGAATGAGATCAGGGGAAACAAATTTGAAATGAAGAAATAAAAATAATTATTTGCAGATATTATGAAACTACACATGAGTGAGTCTAAAAATTCCACCGAGGAACTCCTACAGCTGATAAACACTTTCAACAACCTCCCAGGATGCATAAAGAATTCACAAAAATTGGTAGTTTTCATATTTACAAATGACAAATGGGCCTGGAAAGAAATCAGAGGAACAACAACTTTCACAATAGTCAAAACACATAGACTATCTTGGGTCAACTCTAACCAAGCAAGGAAAGACTTGTATGACAAAAACTTCAGCTCTTTGAAATAAAGAATGAAGAAGATATCAAAAAAAAAAACTGAAAAGACCTCCTCCCATGATCATGGATCACTAGGATTTCAATAATAAAAATTTCCAGCTTACAGAAAGCATTTTCATTTCAATCCCCATCAAAATTCCAGATCTTTGAAGAAAAAAATCAGTTTTATTGGAAACCCAGAGAATGCAGGATAGCTAAAATAATTCTGAGAAATAAAACCACAGAGGCCGGTCTCAATATTTACAACTTTAAATTGTACTATAAAGCTATAGTGAAAAAAAAGCTAATGAATGATGTTGGCATATAAACAGAAAAACTGAGCAATGGAATCAAATTGAAGATACACATAAATCCTATGTGTATCTGATACACCTATGGACATCTGATCTTTAATAATGAAGTCAGAAATACAGGGTGAACTATAGACAGCATCTTCAACAAATAGTTCTGCTGACTGAATGTCTGCATGTAGAAGGATGCAGTGGGTTACATCTTCATCACTCTTCACAAACTCTAGTACAAATGTCTTAAAGACCTCAAAATAAAACCAGATACACTAAACCCGATTGAACTCATTGGCATAGAAGATGACTTTTTGAACAGAGTAATGATATGGCAGGCATTAAGATCAATAATTCATAGTTCTCTGAGGTAAATAACACTGTTATTTGGACAAAACGACAGCTAACAGAATGGGGGAAAGGTTTTATCAACTCGACATCAAACAGAAACTAATATCCCAAATATAAAAAGAAGTAAAGAAAAAAATCCCTGATATTCTACAGACTATGCCTGCTAGAAATCCAGGAAGCCTACCTGCAGACCTTCTCTTCTCCCTGTTTCTCCCAGATTCAACTCTCTTAGCCTTGTCATCAGCTTTGCAGCAGAAACTCCTGTGGTAGCCTTCACAGCCTGACTATTTCCATTTTCTGTGGATCCCATAGATCTTCCCCTTCTGTCTTCCATCTCACCACCCTTTGCTATATCATAGAGCCTAGCTCCAGCAGACACATGTTGCTTATCCACAGGCC